GCAAGAGGTACAATGGGATACATGGCTCCAGAAATGTTCTACAGAAATATCGGAAGAGTTTCATACAAATCAGATGTTTATAGTTTTGGAATGTTGTTGATGGAAATGGCTAGTAAAAGAAGAAATTTGAATCCGGCTGCAGAAAATATAAGCCAAATTTATTTCCCTTGTTGGGTTCATGACACGCTCAACAAAGGAGTGGAAATTGATTTGGGGGATGCTTCTTTGGATGAAAGAATAATGGTGAAGAAAATGACAATTGTAGCCTTGTGGTGCATACAGATGAAACCTGACGATCGTCCTTCCATGAATAAAGTTATAGAGATGCTTGAAGGAGATGTCGAGTTGTTGCAATTGCCTCCAAAGCCATTCCTCTCTCCAGAAGAAATGCCGAACAGTGATATAGACATAAATGATATGGAGTTTCCACTGTTGTCTGCTAGTTTTGATTAGCAAACGAAGTCTGCGTGCACATTAAAATTTAGGATGTTATGATAATTATTATGACTAGTATCAAAGTTGAATTGCATCGAATAATTATGGATTACTAAGTTTTTATTGATTAATGTATTAGTTGAATTGATATATCTGTATATGTAATGCAGCATTAAGATCACATTCATATTTGATAACACTTGGATGTCCAAATTTGTTGGAAGATTTATATCCATTCTGATAACCTAAAACGTGCTTTGACTCTATAAAAAGATCACTTGCATGTTTGTTCGGTGCTTGCTATGATAGGAGATGAACGATCGATCACACTCCAATGTTGAAGTTGACTTTGGTGTCTAGTGGAAAAAAGTGTTGATTTCTCATACGCGGAGTTGGAATTTATAGTGTTAGAAGAGTGTACACATAATGTGGACAAAGTATCACGCTATGAAATAGTGAAAGGATCTATTCCATGGTATTCGAGAAAATGTGTTGTTGAGCTAGTGTGTTCGACAAGCTATAGTCACCTTGAGATTTTCTCTAACGTCATCTCCAACCATTAGCATCAAATTGATGCAACTTTCACACCATCTTGTAGAGTCATTTCCAATCATTATATCAAATATTACACCAAATGAATAGTATTATAGTGAAAGGATCTATTCCATGGTATTCGAGAAAATGTGTTGTTGAGCTAGTGTGTTCGACAAGCTATAGTCACCTTGAGATTTTCTCTAACGTCATCTCCAACCATTGGCATCAAATTGATGCAACTTTCACACCATCTTGTAGAGTCATTTCCAATCATTATATCAAATATTACACCAAATGAATAGTATTTCCTTATTTATTTATTTATTCTCGACAATTAATTTATTTCAGAAGTTAATAATTACAAATTATATTACTACTAAAATTGTTAAATTAAAAATTATATATAATTAACTAAAATAAAAAACTATTACATTTAAAACCACAATTAAAAAAATTACAGTTTACTATAAATGTTAATTAAAATTAATAATCAAATTAAACAGAATATAAATAAAGTTAAATCAATTAATAATAGAAAGATATAATAGAAATTAAATTTGTTGTATTATAAAATAAAGGGCACCAAATGAATAGTGCTACACTATTCATTGCATAGGTGTGAACTTTTGGTGTATGGTTGGAGTGGATTTTTGCACCAAATTGGTGCGTGATTGGAAATGTCCTAAGTGCACGGTCTTCAAAATGTCACTACATATCAACGTTGCACCAGCCACCAGGTGTAAAGTTTTGGTGCATGGTTGGAGTGGATTTTAGCACCAAATTTGTACTTTTACACCAATTTGGTTCGTGGTTGGAAATGCCCCAAGTGCATAGTGTTTGAAATGTCACGTCATATCAGAAGTACCAAGGAAGGTACCTTTATGTTATGCTGGCTTTGAGATATGATGTCTTGTGCCTCTATTCAACTCGTTATATGAGGACATGAAGCCTAAGTAATCATCCCTTGATTTGCCTAGATAGTCATTTAGCTCTACTACCGTTCATCTTCTACAAGATCATTCATACTAGGCCTAGTAAGAGTTACACCATGTGTTTTGACTGAGACCTATTCTTTAATTAGACCGAAGTGGTTATCTGTCCTTCCAGTGACTGTTTGGCTTGAATTGTGTCTATCCCTTTGGTCTCATGGTATCATGCAAACGTTATGTCACAGTATATATAACAAACTGCCTTTTTTAACGAGCTAACATGTGCTTGATTCGTCAAAAAGCAAGTACGAGTTAGGTTGTCTAGTGAACCTAGTCGAGCTTGATGGTGGAAAACTCCAGCCTTTACACCCTTTTTGTGGCTCACCCCACCAAGGGACGAGCATGAGTTAGTTCTTGTGGTGGATCAAGTCGAGCCTGATAGTGGACTAGCTGAGCCATAACATCCCAAGTTATATGATTTCAACTTCAGTAGTTGACTTTAATCATAAATCTCCATATGGGATGTAAACTTGTGAAGGTCATACTTTAGAGTCGAGAAGAAAGTAATAAAAATATTTTAGAGCATGTTACCAGTCAAAGCTCCTCAATTTTGCTACAAGGATCAACTTGTTTCTTTCCATATAATGAATCCAAAAAATTTGTATGAAAAGGATGCTCTAAATTATAGAAGTATGATGAAATATATGACCAACCAACATTCATATTATTAAAATTGATTTTAATTTAGGATAACTCTCAATATTAAAGTGGTTTAAAGTTAAGACTTCACCTCATAGACTTGAAGTCAACAAGGGTATTCTTGAAAGAAAATAAATTATTTTAATTGGAAAATTTAGTGAAACGAATCTCAAATCAAACGTTATTGAAGAATATTAATACTATAAATAAAATATCCTTTAAAAAAACAACTTTCATTTTCTTATTTTCTTTTATCGATCCTAAAACGTATGGTCCAACACGACTTAGAGCATGTTTGGTTAAGTCGAGAAAAGCGATGAAGTAAATTTTAAGGAATTTTTGTCTCCAAATATGTTTATACAAATTTTTTCATACTTTAAAGTAAAAGAAAGTTATTTTTCAGAAGTAGTCATTCTTTAATTTCAACCAAAAAACATAAAAAATCTAATTTGGAACAAAAAAATATATTTGTATTACTTATTTAATTATAATTAAGTTGCCTATATTGAACTTTTTATGCTTGGAAAACCACACTTAATGTGTCAAATCACAACTTGTGTTATTATCAACTTTTGTCTACATAACATTTTAATATAAATTGGATGTATCCGACAAAATCTTTGAGAATTAATAGCACCGGTCATCCTCGAAAAGAAACCCCCTTGGAGTTTTAGCTGTGCATGGACAAAATTATATAATTCTGTTGATTTTTCTTTGGGCCATTGGAATTTTGTATACTTGGGTTTAAAGCCTTTTTGAGTCAACAAAGGTAGGGATTAATTTTTTTGGAGTCCTCATTAATTGATTTATTGATGAGAGGCAAATTCTATGATTTTGACTTTAGTAATTGAAAAGAAAAAAATACATTAATCATGGAATTTCATAAAGGCTGTGAAACACGATGCAGGGCAGAATTGCATATTAGAGAATATCCTGGGACCCTTTTGCTAATATAGAAAATTCAGGAGCACATTTTCTAAAACCAACAAAAATACTGGCAGAGGTGCATGATATTGAAATTTAGGGGTTGCTTATGCAAATTTTGCTTAGTGCTTATTTGGGAATTGGAATAAAGAGCCGGGGATCCTATAAACCGTGTCAAAACCTATCAAGTGAAAATTAGTCTTGAGATGCGACACTATGGAAGCCTTGGTGTGTGGAGTCAATCGATTAAGTTGTCTAGTCATTCTTTAATTTCAACCAAAAAAAAAAAAATCTAATTTGGAACAATAAAATATATTTGTATTACTTATTTAATTATAATTAAGTTACGTATATTGAACTTTTTATGCTTGGAAAACCACACTTAATGTGTTAAATCACTTGTGTTATTATCAACTTTTGTCTACATAACATTTTGATATAATTTGGATGTATCCAATAAAATCTTTGAAAATTAATAGCACCGGTCATCCTCGGAAAGAAACCCCCCTTGGAGTTTTAGCTGTGCATGGACAAAATTATATAATTTTGTTGATTTTTCTTTGGGCCACTGGAATTTTGTATACATGGGTTTAAAGCCTTTTTGAGTCAACAAAGGTGGGGATTAATTTTTTTGGGGTCCACATTAATTGATTTATTGATGAGAGGCAAATTCTATGAATTTGACTTTAGTAATTGAAAAGAAAAAAATACATTAATCATGGAATTTCATAAAGGATGTGAAACGCGATGCGGGGCAGAATTGCATATTAGAGAATATCCTGGGACCCTTTTGCTAATACAAAAAATTTAGGGGCAAATTTTCTAAAACCAACAAAAATACTGGCAGAGATGCATGATATTGAAATTTAGGGGTTGCTTATGCAAATTTTGCTAAGTGCTTGTTTGGGAATTGGAATAAAGAGCCGGGGATCCTATGAACTGTGTCAAAACCTATCAAGTGAAAATTAGTCTTGAGCTGCAAAACTATGGAAGCCTTGGTGTGTGGAGTCAATCGATTAATGAAGTGTGTCTATGGGAAAACATAAAGTTAAGGAATAAAATTTAAATCGATATGGACAGCATGGGATTGGAAACTACATGAGTTTAGTACGAGGATCGAAGATTACGCGATCGAGGCTTCTGGATCCATGGGGATGAAGTGGATATGTACTTCAAAGTGAAAGCATGGGATAATAGTTTGTGACTATTTTTATTGAACACTAACTTGACAATTATTGTCTAGTCAATTTAAAATTGCATAGCATAATCAAATATGTCGATTGTTTTAGAGCCAATTTGAAATAACGTAAGATAATAAAATATGTCGATTATAATCTTGTTAAATTAAAATGGTATAATACTAAATTTAGTAATTAGCAATTAGGGTCCGTTTGATTGAAATGAATTTCATAGAAAATGTCATATTCGAGGAATTCGTTTTCTATTTTTGCTATTTGATACGAAAATGAAAATGAAATTCGACTTCCAAAATACAATCACTTAAAGCATGTTTTTGGTCAATTCCATAAAAATCGAATTCCTATGGTTTTGATTTTTTTTTTCTTTTCCAAATTACATGGAATTAGTTTACATTTTCCACATTTGCAATCAAATAGACCCTTAGTGTGATCTCCACCAAAAAAATAGAAAAATTGAGCATACCTAGTGTTCATTAATAAAGTTAGAGGGTGTTTGGGAGACATTTTTATGTAAAAATGATTTTTGAATAGTAAATTGATGGGAAATATGTGGTTAAAAAATAAGAAAAAATTTTTTATTTACATGTAATATTATTTTAATAAAGAATGTGTGGTTGAAAAGAAGAGATAGAGAAATTCATTTTGAAAAAAATGAATATCAAACAGGATTTTAATGTCAATACATGCCAAGTAAGTTATATTTCTCATGAAGAATTAGGATAGCCACACATTA